CTGAACTGTCAGTACCCACTGGTAGCCATTTGGACAGGTCGTTGGAATGCCTAATAGAAACCTACAATTTTTCAATCAAGCATGCCCTTTGACGTTTGTCCTAGGTTCCTATGTAATTGTCTTAGTTGTCAAAACGTATTAAATTTTCGTAGATAGCTAAACTTCGATAATTATATTATCAACATGTCTGATATCAGCGATATAGAAGACTCCTCCACACATATCGGAGAAAGGAGAAAATGCAGTACACAATAATTTGCCCAAAAAATCTATGGTAATACCAATACCCAAGGTAATACCATTAATTACAATTTTGTAGAATTTTTTATAGAAATACGAGTAATTACTGTTATTGTGTTCAATACCAATATAAATATAATAGTTCTTGATTATTTATCGGGTGTAGAAAAAATAGCGTATGCAACTCTCATGTAATGGTTATTAATACACTCGCCTAAACCATACGAAACTCGCATTTGGCTCGTTTCGTATCCCGGTTAATGCTCGTTTATTAATAACCATCATTACATGATCGTTGCATAATATACTATTTTATGACCTGTAAACAATATTTAGAAATAAAATAAAAACAGTAAACGAATATGTCAAATTTATTGATATTTTTGTTAAAAGATTGGTTAGAATTAAATGTCAGTGGAACCAAAATGACATCACACCGAACTAGCTTATTACAGACGGACTCACTTCGAGTGACGGAAAAGTGTAATGAAAATGGCGACTTGAGCGCTATTTTGATTTCTTTGAAGTCAATAATTTTATTTTTGAAGACTGACGGAATGAAAATTATTTTATATCATTTAAATGAAGCTATTTAACAAAAACGGAATTTATTTTCACCAAAACTGACTAGCTTCACTATCTCGAGTTTCACATATGACGTAAAAGTGTAATGCAAAGGCGCGGACACTTCATCGTCATATCATCTCCTCTTTATTCTATCTCAATGGTGTCTACGGACTATTTCATTACGAATTTCTCAAAACTGGCAAAGAATGTCTCCGTCACTGCACTACACAGATCCGTTCTGCACATACCTTTTAAAAATACTTAACTCACTCTTTATATCTAATAATTTAACCCTATTAAAACTATAAATTTTAATTCTCTCCTTACATTGATCTAAACTATCAACTTATTTACTCAATTTCCATGTTCTCGCCATTTTCAAATTCTATAATTCCGTCTCATTTTAAAATATTATATCTTTTCTTTCACTTTTGTCCTCACTCTTTCTTTCTCAGTCAACCTTTTTTTCATTATTTTCATAAATTCATCTTCTCCTATCCTATTATTTTTCCTTCTATTCTTACTCTGCATCACTTTCATTCCCATTTTACTTTCACTTTCATCCCCATTTTACTTAACACTTGATTTTTCCTTTTGTATTCCTTCTGTCATCGAGAGAAACTATCATAGACAAGATATTATCATCATGTCCGATAGTCAAGCAGCTATCAAAGCGCTGAGCTCTTACGTAATCAGCTCAAAAATGGTCTGGATATGCCTAGAACAATTATTGAATGAGCTAGGCGAGAAAAATAGAGTTACTCTCACTTATGTCCCGGGACATAACGGGGTACATGGTAACGAGATTGCAGATAGTCTTGCAAGGAAAGAAGCTCAAACACCCTTTGTAGGACCTGAGCCATTCTGCGGTATCAGCAGTAACATATTAGGATAGATTAAAAAAGAATTGGGCAGTAGAAAAACCGATAATTGGAACAATCTTTTGGGGCTGAGACAGGCCAAGATACTTCTGGGTGAATATAACCAGATAAGATCGGAAGCCTGCATCTGCCTGAGCGTATTGTAACAGGGATTCTTACCGGGCATTGCCGACTAAAAGGACACCTAAGTAAACTGAGAGTAGTATAGAATAGTGAGTGCAGATTCTGTGAGCAGGAGGACGAAACCTACATTCACATCCTAACTGAATGTGTAACACTCCAGAATCCAAGGGATTATATCTAGGAGGATATCAAATAGAAGAGGGAGAGTTACCTAACTTGAAGCCACTTCAAATCCTACACTTCCTTGAGAAATAGGATTGGAAGGGTCGTTATAGGCATTGAGACATTTCCTTGGTGCATTGGCGACAGAAGGGGACACACTAGGTCTTTTAGGTCGCAGTGTATTAACACCCCATTCCCAACATAACATTCCTTCTGTCTGTTCTATTTTAATCTCATTTTTATTCTTACATATTCTATTTTCTCTTTCATCCTGTGTCTGTTCCTTTTTTATTTTATTTTTTATTACATTTTTCTTTTTGAACTCATAAGTTTTATTTTCTCCTTTATCCTGTTTTCTTTCTCAGTTTTTCTTTAAATTCTTCAATTTTTCATATTATTTATTTTTATACTTACTTCTTTTTTAACACTATTACAATATCTCCTTTTTCTTCAATTTTATCCATTTTTCATTTTTTTATCCCTTTTTCTTTTATTAACTTGAATCCAATTTATTTCTATTTTACTTCCCTATACTTACTATAAAAGAGAAGTATTGTAATCGTGAAAACGTCTATTTTCGAGATTATTTCAGATTTTCACTTTTCAGGGTCCCTAGATTACGAAAAACATGTTTACCCATTTCTTCGGTCTGTCTGTTGGCGCGATAGCTCAAAAACAGCTTTATAGAAAAACTTCAAATTTTGTATGAAGATAAAGTTCCTTTCTGGCTCAAACCCAGTTATACAGGATGAGCAGTTTTTAAAATAAAAATTATTTTTAAAAGTCGGCAGATTCCGACTAAAATTGGTATCCGAGTCAAAGATTACAGATCCTAAATAAGTTTTTAAACATTCAAAATGGCGCTAAAAGGAATCGTATTTAATTAAAAAAGGTCCCACTTGAATGGAAATAATAAAAATCGTCCTTTTGGTTTGTGTAACTGGGCTATTTTAAAAGCAGCCAATCATTATTGTTCAATAACGGTGATCGTGACGAAGAATACCGAGTGGACGCGAAGTGAGAATTCGGATTGGATCAAGAGAAAGATCGATGGAGAAATGTGAAAAAGGGTTTTTGATTTGGTTTTAATTTATTAAAATTTAAGTGCTTAGGAGTTTCATGCTTTTACATTGTCTATATCGATGGAAGTTCAGGGTAAAATAGTTTACCGATTTTTTTTTTAATAAATTTGCTTCGCTACATTATCTCCTTTCCTCTCAATTTTATCTTTATATATTTTTTTGTACATCTATTTTTTCATTTATTTCTACACTTCTTTATTCCTTTTCATTACCTTCTATTTTATGGTCATTTTCCAATTCTTCTATTATTTTACCCATTTTCTCCTCCAATTTCTTACCAAAGTTCGCCGTCTTCTCCCCATTCTTATTTATTTTCCTTGTATTTTCGCATAACATTCCTTATAAATTTACCTAACCAATAATAAAACATATACAGGGTGTCCCATCAATGCGTGATTGATCGGAAATACAAAAAAAAATTAATACAAAAGTTGTATGACCATGTTTAATAAATATTCTTAATAGACTTCATTTATTTGTCATCTTGTAAATAGGGTGTCTCAAAATGCAGGGTAACGAATTAAAAAATTGAGAAAATCATAACCTTACGTTTTGACACACATATACAATATAGCAAATGAGTGAAGTCAATTAAAATTGTTTGACGATGTGAAAACAATCAAATATGTATAACTACCTGCAGAGTGCTTTGCTTTAAAAGGTATAGATTTGGTGAGCATTTCGTTTATGGACCACCCTGTATATTTAAGAATAATTGTTAAATATGGTTATACAACTTTTATATTAAAAATTTCTTCGTATTTCTAATAATAAAATAGCTATTGGTAAATTACGCACCCTATACATGTGTTATTGGCTAACATATTGTTATCGTTGTATAGGCAAATTTAAAAGGCATTTTATGTTAGGTTAGTATACAGGATGTTGCATTTGAAAAAATTGAGTAAATTGAACTGACAATTATTAGCTATATTTAAGACATGCTTCAACTATTCGTTAGCTTATTATCTTATCAGTCTGTATATGAAACAATTTTAAAATCAATGTAAACCTACCTAAATTACGATAATTTAATTTGGGGTCTGCATCATTCTCTCATTTCAAAAAAAAAAATTGTTTGGCCACACTGTAATATTTGTTAAAATTTTAGGGTTGAATACATTATTACCAAACCATTCTAAAAATAAAATACAGGATGTTTTATTTAAAAAATTGTACATTTTTATTTGTCAGGCCAAAACGCAACACCCTGTATATCCAAAAATATTTTTAAAATATGTATTTTTCAAATTTTATTATTATTTTATTTGAAACTTGTTTGCGTGTTTATAATATAACACAAATTGAAATATTCAACAATTACGCACTGTATAATTCAAATTAATTTTAAAGCATGCTCCAATTATGTGCATCTATATTTTTAAATATGTAATAGATCTGAATTTCTATCTATTAAAATGTAACCCTTCCAACTACAACGAGGGTGCATTTTGGACCCACAACTTTTTTGCATATTTTTTGTTTTTATAAGGTTAGCGAAACGCTCCGTATAATTATGTTTATATTGCAGTGTACACGTGTATGTAGGTGATGTTTAATTTAATTTTTATTTGCAATATTTGACAAAGTTGTCCGTTTAAAGTGGACAAAAAGACCATCAATCCGAAGTCTGCAAGAATCACATGAATAAGTAGGTGGTAAAAAAATGCAATTCGTATAATTATTTTTTTTTAAACGTTTGATTAATATTAGTTTACCCTTTAGTTTCTTACTGACTGATTAAATAGTTAAAGAATTATTTATAAATTTAAAAATTTGATCTTGAACTTCCACTTTAATCGCGGGGACAAGATGAACCCATGTTATCAAAAAACGTGCAAAAAAGCTTGTAGGTCGAAGGGTTTTAATAAAAATGTTTACACTTGAAAATAAATAGACTATTTCAAAACATATTATTATATATTTGTTTTTTGTTTCCTGTTTTGTCTTACTTGTTGAAAAAAAATATTCACCGATTTAATGGATACTAATTAAAATGACCTTAAAAAATTAAATAAAAATACCCTATTTTTCAACGGATAGTAAGAAATTTTATTAATTAACATAGAATTTGTATCAAAATTTACCACACTAATACAACTATAACTTAAGAACTAACACATCATTCAGTTTCTAATCAGTCCAATTGATAAAGAGGTCACTTTCATATTCACACAAACACAATTTTATTGCTTAAATTTTATAATGCGTCCTATAATCTCTACCACTTGGAATGCCCCCATAGTGTCGCATCCTTCTTACCGCTTCCCTAAGATGCTTCGGTTGGATTGGCCCCGAGTCGCCTTGTTCTTCCATCACATCGAGACCTGTTAAATTACGAAATCAACATATACATAAGATAGATACAATTTAGATTTGTATAAATTAAGCACACAGCATAATATATATCCTTAAATTTCGGGTAAAAGAGTTATACCGTAAGACGATTAAGCCTTACTAGCAACTCGTTTATTTTAAAGAGTAGAGAACACGTTGATTATTAAACTCATATCTTAATATTTATTTAGGAAAACTTTGATTTCCATTTAAAAACACAATTTTGTGAACATTTTATGCCTTAAGGCAGCCATACTCAAACTGCGGCCCGCGGGCCGCATGCGGCTCTCCAAGCTTTTTTGTGGCCCGCAACACTATTATTGGTCGCAGCGCTAAATAGCATGTTAATTTTTAAATAAACGTTTGGAATTTTGTGGAGTTACTGCAAAAACAATATAGCTCCACTTTTAGAATTTTCGAGTTAAGTAGGTACACTTTCTACAAGTGTGAAGGAAGTCTATATTCATGAGCGCCACGACAAATAATAATAATAATAATAGCCGTCCCTTTCCCCGGACAAGCTCAGCTTTTGGGGTAAATTAGGGAGAGTATTATTATTATTTTGATTCGGTGTCACTATCTATAAGATAGGTGTTTAACGCAAGCATCGGCCAGGGCAAGATGCTTACATATGGTCGGCAATTCCCAACATCGCTAGGTTTTTAGTAAGCGACTTTGGTATTACACCAGTTGACGAAAGTATTAATGGGACTACAAAGACACTCTCTTGTCGCCACATCTGTTGGATTTCCTGTCCTAGTCGCTGGTATTTTGCTTTCTTTTCAGCGTAGTAGGTTGTAATATTGTGGTTATTTGGGATTCCCACGTCGATCAGTATAACTTTATTTTCTAATTTGTTGGTGATGATGATGCCAGGTCTATTGTGGACTATTGTGCGGTCTGTTAGTACTGATCGATCCCAATACAACTTGTGGGTATCGTTTTCTAACACAGGTTTAGGTTATTATTATTATTATTATGATAAGCAGATAGCCAATAAAAACTAACTCCATGTTAATACATTAACAATGTGGACAAATAAGATGGAGTGGCATTTATACCAAAACATAATCATAACATTGTGTTCAATTGATAAATGTGTCTACCAAAACCAGATAATAGTCATATAACTTATTTTTGCTAAATATATTTAGTCCGATTTTTATTAGTGTTCCTGCCAAAACAAGATAAAGGCCAGAACCGAGGGGAAACCAATAAGGTCAAAACGTACCTGTATTTCGAAAATCACTTAAATTTTTTTTATGTAATTTAGGTGATTTAACTGAAAATCCACCTTAATTTTATACGATGATCTTTTTTCTCGCCATTTCGTATTGTAAGCGGCGAATTGATTTCGATCATGATTTTAGATGATGATTTTGGAATTTTCGAGAAAATGTGTAGTGGTTTCGGTGATTTCCAGTGAAAACGTACCAGTATTTCGGGAGTGGTTTGCCGCTACTTATTTTTGTTGAATGTGTTTGTTGAAATATTACAACATTGTGCCCACGCCATTTGTTTTGTTACGACTAGAGCCGTCTCTGGCCTTTCTCGATTGTTCCGAAATCCACGAGATGATTACGTCACCCTTTCTTTACGCGATACAGCTAACCTTAAACAACCACTAGATAATAACACGTGATGTTCGAATCTCCGTGGTGAACGAGTGATTGGTCAAGATGTAACGGGTGATTGGTCAAGCTGTAATGAGTGATTCGTCAAGCCATAACGAGCGAATCTTTATGTGAAAATTCGTAAATTAAAGTATTAGTGGTAACAGGCGAATATAAATTTTAGCCATACTTTCTAATAGACAACGTATCGAAAGATTCAACTATCCTAAATACATTCCACCAGAAAAATAGATTTAATTTATCAATGGGCGAGGGTGGGAAATTCGGCTTTATATGCCAAACTCGCACAGTATTTATTCAAAGGGATGCATGAAAGGATGAAACAAAGTTTTGAAAATACAAAAAAGTGCAAGTAGAAAGATTTACTAAAATTTTGCAATATCAGATACACCTGATGAATTTCATCATTATTATCACAATCTACCTATATCCAATAATGTTACTGAAACTTCAACTGAAGATAGTGACACATACATTGAATTATGATTTGTATGTAGAGCTAAAATAAGCTAAGTGACGCTTTTTCCCTCTTTTTTTTACTAATTATTGATAGATTATTAGTTTATACTTTGTGAACAATGTTTTCAATACAGTCTTTATTGAAGTTAATAAACGGTTTGAAGCTTTTACTAATTATTTATTCAGTTTTAAACGTTTGAATAGTGTTTTATCGAAACTCTAAAAATGTGAGTTACCTTGTTTTTGCAGTAACACAACGGGATATATTTATGTTTTGTGTTTTATTTATTAGTGGACCCCACTAACTAATTTTAGATAGATGTCCTAAAAAAAGGTCATCATCCAAAAATATTGCGGCCCGTGTAACATAGCACATATACGAATGTGGCCCGAAGGAAAAAAGGTTGAGTATGGCTGCCTTAAGGTGAGATCTTTTTTCTGATATAATTAATCCCGTTTTTGAAAAAATACTTTCACTTGGCACGGATGTTGCTACCACACTTAAGTACCTTTTAGCAAATCGACATAGTCAGGGATAAATCGAATGTGAATAGCTTGAATGGATACCAAGGATACATCGATGCATCGACAAATATCGAATGGTTTCGATGCATCGCGAAAACCGATGCATCGTATTGAAAATATCGATGTTTTCGATGCATCGATGTATATCAAACATCCCTACATTATTTATAGTTTTCAGTCGATAAATAAAAAAAGTATCCAGTGTATCCAAGCTTTTAAAAATAAAGTATCGGATACTTCAAATTTAGCAAACTATCAGATCTTTCTAATCGAATAGATATTCTTTGCACATAGTAAATTTCAGTTTTCCAATGCCCCCATAAACGAGGGGAGTTTATGGAGGATCAATCCACACATGACCGGATTTTTATCGGTCAAAAATTATTATAGATAAACAATACGAAATAAAAAATAGCGGAAATAGAGATGTTTTCTATTATTTGATTAATTTATTAAACAAACATTGAGGATTTAATACAAACAAAAGATGACATTCGATCTTCCGTAATATAATACAAACAACTTTTGCAATCTGTCCTCTGTTTATATAGTTTTATTTTATAAAAACAAAATCACGCAATGTGTCTCGATTAATTGTGTTTGGACTTCCTTTTAAATTACTAAATTTGGGTGATTAGGTGGTACATTGACTTTTAATAAGATCGATTTATCAAAGATATTACGAGGGAGAATGTTCATATAATCTTCGCGACCATAAAAATATCACGCAAATCATTATAAAAAGATCGTGGGAGAGGTCGTGTCCAAAAGGTCAATGGAAAAACTTTGGGTTTAAAAAGGCAAAATACATAATTTTTAATTTTCTATTTTTGGTGCAATCCCGGCTTTATTAAACTTTGTTTTTTCCTTTTTAGCAGAAATAGCTATTTGTGTATTAAGAGCGAAAAGTGATACTTTGCCGCTTGAGATAGAAAGTTGCCGAAATCTGTCGAAAGCGCAACAAACTTTTCGCTCAAAATGCACACAAGATTTTTTCTACGATCACATTTTTTTAAGAAATAGAAAAAAAATACGTGTGGCACTCGGGGACTGCCGCGGTAAAGCTATTGCATAGCATTTTTTATCAACTTATGGAATTATAATTATTTATTTATTTTATTTATGGAGTATTTTTTTCTTTGATATTAATTCAAGTTTTTTCTTTGATATTAATTCAAGTTACACTTTTTGAGCGTGGTGACCGATAAGAAAACAAATTTTTTTCTTTTATTGAATAAATGAGAAGTTAATATTGTTTAAAATATTTTTATTATCTTACAATACATGTAGGTTATTCAGGCATTTTTATCATTGAAACTATGGGTTTATGGTAACTGAAATAAGAAACATAAGTTTGAGACTTGATATCCTCTAAATATCTGGAAAATACCGCGTCAATGGTGGTCCCATATTTTGTTGTGGATTCTTGTGGATCATTATTCATTTTCAAATTCAATTTTTCCGAAATTGTGTCTAAAAGAGATAGAATCAGTTATGAGCAGTTAGCAGCTAGTCTACACGCATACGTCTAGTCGCACGCACACAAACACCGTGCCGAAGTCTGCCAAACTGAAACGACGTTAGACGATGCACGGCTTTCAACGCCACACCGCTGTGCCGGTCGGAGTGGGGGGTGTTAGGTTTAATTTCGTTAAGGAATTTCTTTTTAGATTTTACGATTTTTCGATTTTTTCGTTTTTTCGATTTATCGATTTTTTCTATTTTTGGATTTTTTTCTATTTTTGGATTTTTCCATTTTTCAATTTTTCGAGGGGTTAGGTTTACGTCTAGTCGCACGCACACAAACACCGTGCCGAAGTCTGCCGAACTGAAACGACGTTAGACGATGCACGGCTTTCAACGCCACACCCCTGTGCCGATCGGAGTGGGGGGTGTTAGGTTTATTTTCGTTACGGAATTTCTTTTTCGATTTCAATACGAGTTCAACCATATGTACCACTTATGATTTTATGTAGTCTGGAAGGTCTTAAATAAATAAAATAAATCTGGCAACTCCTAATTGTCTCAATAAATTTTTTAATACAATAATAAATAAATATACAGGGTGATGAATTTGAAAAACCACAGTGACTAATAATTATAAGAGAAACGTCAAATCTGGCAACATTGCAAATATCAAATCTGGAATCTCCGTTTCCCATAATAGGTGTAACCCAAATTTTGTACAATTAGGATTAGCAATTTACGAGATAATTGGCCGTTTCCAGACTTTTGGGCCACTCCGTATAAACAAAAAACTACTGAATGAAAACCCTCTAGTGATTAAAAGCGCATTTAAAGGAGATTCAATAAAAAAAATGAAATACATTTGAAAACATATATATGGACGGATCTAAAATTGGAAACAAATT